TAGAATGTAACATTTTGACATTCTGGCATTCTGTTGATGTATATAATATCTTCACACACATCTATAACAGTTTAGATAATCAGGAAAGAATAGGGTTGAGGACATAACTGCTGCTATTGACTTCTGTCCAAATAAAGGAACAAAATGCTATTTGATACTGACATCTTTGGGGATTTGTGCATTTCCTTAGATCTTCCTTTTTATTTTTTGTTCCATTGCTTTAATATATAGAAAAAGAAAAAGAAGAAAAGGAAAAAAAGAAAAAGAAAACAAAAACTAGAGAAAGTAAAGGAAACAAAACTATACTATACTACTTACAGAAAATAATTCAGCCTAATTTTTAAATGTATAATCAGACCTTGACTACACAAAGTAATATTGATCAGCCTTTCTTTACATTCATAAAGAACCAGCTCATAAACAGAAAACCCCCCACATATATTAATCCAAGATTTTAAATCCATCTTTTTAGCATTGAAGAATAACCTTTTTTGCTCCCCCTCCCCATTTGATTAATTCACAATTCTTCATGTAGTGATACATTCCAATGTTTTTTAAATTAATTCAGAAGCACATTTACATCTTAAACTTGATTCATCTTTGCAATACCACATTAACAGACTTATGAATATTAAAGAAACTGGGGTAATGGAACAACCCTTTGTCATATCAGCAAGTGTTTTGTCAGACATTTTACCCTCCCAGCATAATATTATTAGCTAACACCCTTTAGTCATTTTTTGAGATGATCTCTCTCTTTTTCAGGATTTCCTCACCCCATTCTTCTGGAGGTTGAAGCATTCTGTTTGTACATGTGAGAGTAGGAATCTAACCTGAGCAATTACTGTATTATTCAACCAGGTTTTATGAGTATAGTAAAAAGGAAATCAGTTTACAGGAAACCCTAGCCCCTAAATAACTACATCTTGCCAAGAGAAGAGCCAGACGTATGTGCTCTGTGCATACCTGGAAATGAAGGCAGAAGGAAGGAAGTGACATGAGATTAGTAATCTCTTAAATAGAGTGCAGCAGAGTGCCAAATTAAATCCTTAACTTTCTATGTACATCTCACTGCCTCCTTGTGGACAGTAGGCCATGAGGTGCTAAAGACTCAGTTTCATTGGATTCCCACCTCCATCCAGAACTTTCCTGGTGTTCCCCTTCATCTTGACCCATTCACTTTTCCTTTATATATTGGTTTTGTGATTCGATCCTCAATCATTCTATGTGACCAAACTGCCTCAATTTACTTCTTTTGTGCTATTATATTCAGTCCACATTAATTCAGCATCATTCATTCTTGAATATCTCTTCTTGTTTTATAATGTACACTTCTTATATAGCATTCACCTTCTGTGTTTGTCCTGACATGCCAGGAGAAACATGACAAACTGGGCAGAAGCGTGCTTTTATAAATAGATACTTTTACTTCTCTCACAAACATTCATTCCTCTCAACAAACTTTCTACCAGCATTTTGCACATCATGGAATTTCTCCATTTCCCCATGTTTAGTAAACTTCTACAAATGTACACAAATTCATTTACTTGCTCTAATTTTACTCCATTTTCCCTATCAAGCACAGCTACTTTTCATCACCCTTGTACCTTTCACAAATTCTCTCACTCTGTCATCAGAAAATTTTATTTTTTACATGTTTTAAATTATTCAGAAAGTTAATCAAATAGTCACAAAGAAAAAGAGAAAAGAAAAATTGTATTAATATACAAGAAAAAAATGAGAAAAATAAAAAAATAAATAAAACCATTAAGAAACTTCTTGGTTACAAATTATACTCTTCCCTCCCATTGTGCTTCAACTGATGAGTGTGATCAATATATTTATAAGCATTAGGAATTGTTTCTGATTTCTATTTAAGTCCCTTTGTCTATTTTTTTTCCTTTGGAAACCATAGTATCAGAGTTTGCCTTGTTGTGTAATATGTGATATATAAGGGAGCCATTCTTGCTTAAATTTAGTTACACTTCTGTTGTGAATATATACTGTTAATTTTGCCATTACTGTGTATACTCCCAAGTTTAGTTTCCCAGTCTGACATTTTTGGCAAAGTATCTCTTTTCCAGTGTTGTGCCAGATTTATCCTTGCGGCTATCAACATGTATCTTAATAAATTATGATATTTTTGTTTATATGTTCTGGAACAATTCCAAGCAGAAATATTTAAGGTATGATTGAAATTATAATTTTTTTTGGTATAATATTGTGTATTTCTTTCCAGTACTTTTTGAGATTTTTTTGCATAACCACATATGATAGAATGTTCCTTCTTTATCATGACATTCCCAACATTTCTTATTTGATGATTTATCAATTTTTGTGATTATTGACAGAGTTATATATCATCTGTAAAATATACCAATTTTCCCTTAAATTATAACTTGGGGTAAATGTTATTGATTTTTTTTCATAATTATTCCCTTTGTTTTATTGTAATTGTTTCTTTAAAGTTTTGTCTGGCGTGGTGGTTTAAGGTACCAGGCTAGAAACTAGGAGATTGAGTCCTAATCCTGCATTAAGCACAAAGCTAGCTGGTTGACCTTGGGCCAGTCACTCTCTCTCAGCCCTAGGAAGAAGGCAATGGCAAACCACTTCTGAAAACCTTGCCAAGAAAACTACATGGATTGGTCCAGGCAGTTACCAGGAGTCAAGAGTGACTGGAAGGGACCAAATCAAACAAAAAACACTTAACAATGCTCCTTAATTGTTCATTTTAAGAATACTGTTGTAGTGGGGAGCAACTGGCCCTTTAAATCACAAGCCAGCCTGATGTGCCCAGAGGAAGTCACCTGACCCCTGAGGGCCAATAAAGGAAAAGAAGGGGGTTATGTCAGTTTTTGGGTGGGAAAAGTTTTGAGACTCTTTGGAGAGAGTCAGCTGGAGTCCTGGATGAGGGCTTACCTCAGGCAAGGTGGGAAATTGAGTTGCTTTGGCTGTAGTTAGAATTGCATTAGGGTTGTTTTTGCATTTTATTTTTTTAAACAGTAGTTGTGTGTGTGTGTTTAGAACCTCATCTTCTTTTGAATTTTTGTTTCAATCCTGACCGGTTGCTTTCTATTACTTGCCTCAGCTTAGCTGAGCTACTGACTCCCAAAGTCTTTGTTTGGTTTCCCCTTCTGTATTTAGCCAGACTCAGGTAGGGTGGGGATTTCCCCTTCAATACTCTCCTGGTTCCCCAGAGAGCAGGTGTGGAAGGGAGAATCAGTTTATAATGAAGGGGTGGTGGCAACGAAGGGACCTAATTTGCTGTTCAGCCACAGGCACAGGTTACCTCAGGTTCTGAGGTACTTAGGTTCTACCTTCAGAGGGAAGGGCTGGTTTGACCCTAAAGATGCTTTCCTTATTACACCTCTAGATTTAGAATAATCCAAAACATATTTCAGTACTGATACTAATTTGGGACTTTAGATGCTGCTAATCCATCTACATCAAATTGTGAAATCAGTAGAGATTTTAACAGAATATACTGCCATTTTGCAATTTTAGGCAATCCAAGTTGCTGTTGCAATATTTCAGTTTAAAAAAATTGATTAGCAATAAACTGATCTTAAGTACTATTAGCTCTGTGTGATTTACCTGTTAGTTTTACTTAAAGATTATCCCCAGAGTGTATGTTTATCATGTGAATAGGAATGAAACTCATATTTCCATCCCAATATCTTCTAAATGTGCCAAATGTCTCTCTCTTTAATAGAGGAAATACAATGATGCTATGAGTGAAAATAGAGCTTAGGCCCTGCTATGATCTCAGAAGGACACATAATACCTTTCTAATTATGCCCATAATGTATTTTTACTTGATTGCATGTACTCCATAGAGAAATTGATATCAAAATACGACAAACCTGAGAATCCGGAAAATTATATTTACCCATTACTATATGATAGCCTCAGTTTAAATAAAGAAAATCTAGGTGTTTGTCCTTTGCATAAAAAAAAAAAGTCTTAATATCTTATCAATACTGTATGCTTGAAGTAACTTAAACGTATTGGTTTAGGAAAACTCTAAAAAATATTAGCAATCTTGAACTGATAAATTACTTTTACAACATTTAAACACAATGGAATATTTAGCTTTCTATTTATATCAGTTTTAAGCTGAAATAAGATTCTCAGATTCACAAATCCTTTTTACAAAAATAGATTATTCCCATCAAGAAAGAAGATGGGGGAGATGAGTTAATGACTAAAGATTACAGAATTGAATGGATACTCCATGAAATTAATGAACTATGTACATTGTAGGTTGAAAGATCTGTCAGGAAGCAGCTCAGAATACTGTGTGACACAGGGCATATTGAGGAACAGTTGAGATTCACTCTCCCTAGGGCATTGACCCTGGGATGGCTTTTTCCCCCAAACCATGTTCCTGTACCTTTAGCAGTGGACTGACTTGCAGTATAAGTATCTGCTAAAGCTTACTTTCATGCTATGATTAGCATATTCAGTTACAAAGCTTAGACAGATTTTATGGTCATGGTGGCAGTTCAAGTTCTTCTTGTTACTGCCCCTCAAAATTAATGTTCCTTTATCAGTTACTGTTTACGAGCTTGCTATTTGTTATGTCAGCCTGAAATGATCTTATATGCTTTAACCCATTGATTGGCAGCTGCCCAAGTCTGTGATAGTTGCTTGGAACAACTTTGTATTCTGTGCTTCTGTATTCTGTAAGTGCTAAATAGAAAAATAACCAATACTTTTTAAAAATGGAATGCGTAGTTATTCCTCTCTTTCCATTTTATATAAATAATTCTATTTATATAATAAATATAAATAGACACCTAGTTGCCTTTGCCTTCTTTTATGCTCCTGCTTCTTCCTTGCATCCTTGCATTGTGTATTGTTCCTTTTGCTTGAAATTATCTTTTTCTACATCCTCTTCCTTTTAGGTCCACTTCTTTAGCTTACTCCACATCTAGAGAAAAAATAACCTCTCTTTTGTGATGGCTGATAACTGTAATTTATCCCCTCTTTCATTTAAGATCTTATCCAATGTTGCCATCTATCTGTGCACCATCTGTGTGGGTATCATGTCTTACTACATGGCAGACCGTAAGCACCGCAAAGCCTTCCTAGAAGCTCGGCAGTCTCTGGAGGTCAAGCTCAACCTTGAGGAACAAAGTCAGCAGCAGGTAAGAGTCGAAGAGCTCCATCTGTAGCTTCTATTTCGTTTCTGTCTCATATCTACATGGGCAAGTCAGAACTTGGGTTTAATATCTAGGAAAATCCATTTTCTCAGTTTTTGATTTCTAGATTTGTATGTAGGTATATATGAATGTGCATGGCAGAACTGACTTTGCATCAAATTCCAGATACATGAGTTTGTATGGCTGCCACCACCATCATCATCATCATCATCATCATCATCATCATCATCATCATCATCATCATCATCTTATTTGTTAAACTTCTACTGTTGGTTTTTAGCTGAATGCTGTACATCATGGAGGTGTATCACTTTGGCCATATTGGAGTATGGATAAACAGATAATGATAGTCAGAATGTATGGGGGTGATTATTTTATTTACTGATTTTGACCATGGGATTTCTATATCAGACTTTAATTGTAGTTTTCAGGGTTGCTCACAACAGTGTAATTTAAACAATGAGAACAGAAATACATTTCAAAACAAATAGCTAAAAGTTTTTTAAAAGCTTGGGAGAATGGGAATAGTCTTTGTCTGGCATCAGCAAAGCATAAGAGATAATGTCCTTGAGTGAAGACTGCTAAACTGCTATGGTTATGACACATGCAGGTGATGTCATCATGCAAATATTTGCATATATGAATCCTGATATCTGACATAAATTGTGGCATTTGCATGATGACATCATTCCACACATTTCACCCTTTATCTTCTCCACTCCCCCACCCTGATCAATGCCCACAGGTTAAAATTTTAACACTGTATCCTTTTTATGGTCTGTTCTATACAATTTGCAATTGTGTGTTGACAGTTCCTGCTACTCCACCTGAGAGATTTCATAGCACACTCCCAATGAGCATCATTTAAATGCTACAGATATTATTGTAAGATTTAAGTTCTTGGGAAGATAAAATTTTATGAAATATTTCAAGGTATATTGTCTATACTGTCTATACTATACTGTCTATACTGCATGTCAGTATGGCTTTTTTTCTATTCCTGAATAAGCTGATAAAAGCTTCCTATGTGGGTTAAAAGCAACATAGTGGAAGATGGAATTATTGGTAAGGTTTGTACAAGGATGAGAAATACTGAGGTACTGCTTCTTTTGAGAGAAGAAAATCTGTGCTTGGCTTAGTTTATTGATTCATCAGGAAAAATGTATATTGGGACAGCCAATGAATGGCTCTTGATTTGTGCAAAGTTTTTATAATAATTAGGGATTGTGGTTGAGCTTTCTTTATTAATTTACCAGCATTTCATATAAAAACGTCCAGACTAAGAAAACCAATCACTTAAAACAAAAACAATGACATGGAACTCCCTGCCTTTGATAATGGGAGTGGGATCTTCAGAGGTTCAGGTCCACAATTGCTCCTTACCAAAATTCTGGATTCAGATTTATGTTATTGGAACTTATTTTTTTTAATGGTTTGCAATTTTATAATTTGATCATGTATTATTTTAACCTTTGTGGACAGTTGGGTCTTTTGAAAAAGATATATTCTTTAGATATATTTACATTAGTAATAATATTTCTTCCCAGCTTATCATCTTATTGGTTGTATTGGTTAGGGCTGATAAGAATAAGAGTCTAATAACACTAAGATACCAAACTTTTGCCCAATTCTGGTCTTCACTCTCTTATTCCACAGCTTTCTCTGGAATATCCTCATCAAATTGCTGAAAGTCCTCTTCAATTTAAATGCTGTTCCACTTAGCTACTGTTGGAATATTTTTGCTCATTTGAGATACACCAATCAGGGTCTGGTGCAAAAGACATGCATTTTGGATTTAAGAATTCTGAACTGAGGATGTATTTCAAGTATCAAAGCTTTGTTCATTTCAGCAGTATAATTTAGGCTGGGATGTTGGGGGAGTCATTTTATTATGATAGTTAAGTTACTGGGGTCAGAAGACTTGATTACGGAATTATTTACAGGCCTGGTTCAACTTTCTGCCCATCCTTGCCCTAACTAATATCCCCACCCACTGATCATCTCAAAGGATGGGAAGTTGGGCAAAGCCATGTTATAGATTGGAGGCAAAGGTGCAGGTCAAGCGCACGAGTTGGGGGAGGCTGAGGAAGGGCCAGCACAGGCTGCGTGCAAGTTGGGGAGGGCTGGTGCAGGTTATGCACAGACAGGGAGGTGCTGCAGGCAGGAGAAAAAGCAGGAGCGACTTATTGGAGCAACTTGTGACCTTCCCTGCTGGTTTCCCCATTGACTTTGCTTGCGGGAAGCCGGCAGGGGAGGTTGCATATGGTGATAATGTGTCCGTGGCTCCCTGCGATGTTGCAATCTGCATGGGTGGTGTTGCAACAGTTGGAAGTTCGAGGATTGGTCATACGTCCATTTTTTCAGTGCTGCTGTAACTTTGAATGGTCACTGAACAAATGGACGTAAGCCGAGGACTACCTGTAAATCACCATCTGGTTTGTTAAACATAAATTATCTTTTCCATATTTATTTTTGTTCCTTCTTTCCTTTCTTGCTTTCTTCTGTCCATGCATCTGTTCTGGATGTAGTAGTAAAATAAATTCTAACACAATTAAAGTAGTAAAATAAATTCTAACACAATTAAAGCACATATTGAGACTAGCTTGAAAAAGCAGAAAATAGAGACATCCAATGTCCACTTTATTATTTACTATATTGATTTATATAGCTGACTATCTTGTAATCACAACTCATGTTAAATCAGATTTGTGAAAAACTTTGAAAGCTTCAGTTTGTTTGCAATCCAGACTGGCTAAACAAATAAATTGCTTCTGGGGCTTGTTTGTTGTGGCATGTGAATAGGGATCCTTGGCTAGACTTTCTGGAATAGAAGCCAAGAATAAATCAGGAATAAGTCAAGAATTCTAATTCTGGATTCCTAAGAAGAAACAGATCAGAGATCATGGTTTGGATCCCATACTAAACAAATACAGTAATGGAAAGACCTGGACTTGTTTGATGCTTTTGCTGGCAGAAAGCAACATATATTGACAATAGATACACTAATCAGAATTCTTTCTAGTTCTGTAGCAAGTGAACATGATCCATATCTTCCTGTTAATCCAGCTTGGCTCATCTTAATGAGAAAGGCCAAAAGCTAGTAGAATGAGATCTTGCAATTCTTCATAAAAGCAGTAAAAAATGTCAGTACCATAGCTTGAAGGGCCCTTTCTTGTAAAAGCCCCCCATCCTTAGTGTTAGTCTTTCACCTAACTGAGGGAAAATGAAGCAAGATCTGATTTGAAACAGAACTGGGGTGAAAGCTAACAGAGTGAGGTGCTATTTCTAAGTCATACGGGTCCTAGCATATGAAGACCTTTCATTTTAAATTAGTCCTTTTGACTGGATTTCTTTGTGATGCCCAAACTATAGAAATCCCTTCTGGGGGGATACTAGCATGATCTTACTCAATTAGACTTGTTTGGGTGTTATTCAAAATATTCCTGTCCCTTCTTTTTAAATTCAGAGACTTTTCAAAGCAACATCAAGTATTAACAAACAGTGGACTTCCTGTGAATGCCATTGCGAGCTGACGTCTTGCTGGCTAGTAAGACAGTTTTTGTGAGGGAAATTGTAGTTGGATGTTGGATCTGGGCTGGCATAATCTCTCCAGATCAAAGGAGAGATTGTTGAGATCATCCATGTGACTCCAGACAGCTGCTACTCATGAGTAAACCGTGGAAAATGTTTTATGGTCAATGTATGAGTGTCGTGGCTGGGAGTTAGGATTACGTCAAGGTCGCACTCACAAAGCAGCCTTATGGACACTAAGCTCAACTGAGCCTTATATCTTAATCGCTTTTTTGGATTAATTTTTCATGTGTTGTATATTGGAGAGATTAAGGCCCTTCGGACTGGCAAGGTTTTACTGTATTCATCAGGTGATTCTCTGCCTGCTTAAAAGATGATGCTGTAAAATTGATCTTAAACATCTTTAAAATATATGGGTTTTTTGGACTATGCAGCAAAAGGGTGCTTAGTATATGGATTTTGGAAAGTTAATAATGGATTAAGGGGCCAGATAAATTTGGAATTATAGTTTTGAATTTATTATAAGATAACTTCTCATGGGAAAATGGTGATTACTTTTGTTACTTTATGATAAGGAGACCTTGAAGGTTGGACATTACAAGGAGCCAGAGGACAAAGAAAATGGAGCAGAAATCCTCAGTGCAAACTTTTAAATATCTCTCAGCCAAGTTATTGGATAGAATGGATCAGTTGCTTAAGAAACTGGACAGAACATGCTTTAATGAAGTTGTAAAAACAAGAACAGGTTGTAATGGATGCTTATAAAATTAATTTGAAGGAGGACATAAATGTAATGCAAATGGATCCATTTGATGATTTATCCCCTAAAGGAGAGATATCAAACCAGGAAATTGATCTGGATAATTTTTTTTGTTCTGGATATATTTTTAGAAGTGACAAACAAAAGGATAAACTTTATCTAACGGACATGCAAAAACAATCTGTTAGAGTTCTGAAGGATTTTTGTTTGGATACACAGATGATCAGCAAATTACCTCTGGGAATTTTTTTTGAAGGGGTTAAAGAATAATTTTAAAAATTCAGGGAAGGTTTATAAGGTTGGTTTGCTTGATCAGGGCTAAAAGAGGAAAATAGTTATATCTGGCTGTCCTTACTGGACTTCTGCTGACAAAGAATGATTGATGAAGCATTTAGATTTTGGTTTTTTGTTATTTAAGAGATCAGTTATGGGGAGAAGAGAGATTATGTTTTATTTAGAGATGGTGATAAGCTTTCAAAACTGTTTTTACCTGCTGGGATGAAGGGGAAGTTCCTTTTTCCTTTTTCCTTTTTTTTTTTTCTTTTCCACACTCCCCCCTCCCCTTTT